TCCAAAATTCTGAAATTGGATTCACCTGGTCATGTGAGGCATGCCGAGGAATTGAAATGGAAATGTGCACCTTTATGAGGAGGGTTCGGAAACAGTTCGTTGCCCTTAATGATGAAATCCTTTCTGTTGCGTCGCGGTTTGTTGGGTTAAAACTGCTAAGCGAATCACTTACAGGAACCAAAGTGGCATTAACTCCACCATTGCTTCCGTTGTAACTGACACGCATCTACCTCAACCCACAGCAAATCTCGGTGTCACAGACGTAATTTTTGACGGTTTCTAAATCCCCCGTATTTTGCCGGACGTTTTGATTAAATTACCCAACTTAAAAATGTTTCCCAAAAATATAACTTTATTTAAGATAACTCTAATGAATTTTATGAACTACCTGCATACTACGATTTTTATACCTACTTCGTTTTATATTTAAAAATATGCTTTTTATAAAACCTCTCGAAAAAATTAGCTACAAAAAATCCGTCGGCAAACCGTCTACCTGACAGTGTTACCAATTAGCTAGCACTTTAAAATACCAAATTTGTCCAAATTTCGGAGTTAGTTATCGAAATGTTTTGTTAACGAATTATTTATTCAAAGGTACTTAGTACTGTAGTTAAAAATGAAACTTATTTCTGGTAAAAATTTTATGGTAAAAGAAGTTGTAGTTATTGAGAAATTAATAAAAACAGGCCGCCTTTGCAAAAAGTTGGCATCACTGTCGTGAAAAAATGTCCTATTTTTGGTAAAACGCTGGCTGTGAAGAAGAAAAAAAAGTACAAAATTTTTGTTTATTATTAATTTAAACCAATAAGCATTGCTAATTTTCAGGAATAAACATTGGTTACCAGCGCAAGACACCATATTCTTCCGATTCATTCGCGATAATATCGACATTGCCAAAGGATTTACTCAGGGTGGCCGCATTCTTGTGAAGGGACCTGGCCAATGAGTTAAATCTCCATGGTAGTCCATGTAATACCGTTTGTAAGGATCTCCTCTGCGTCCTATCCTCTCGCAGTTTATGCCTTCGCAAGTACTCTAGAGCAGACGGCACTTTGGTTCGGTTTTAAAAATCTTGCCAACTTAGAAATGAAAATAAACCAACGCAGCCGAGGCAAACCGCTGTTCAGGGCTGCAATATGTAGCCTGGCGGGTAATTCAAATTTTTAATATTTTTCTTTTATTATGAACAATATGCGCTTTAAACATATGGGCACTTCCAAAATGTCGCTCGGGACATTTGCACACCTTTAAAGTTGAAAAAAATTGTAAAACAATAGATTTTAATTTTAATTATGGACTTTTCTTTTCACTCTTTCCAAGCTCTATTTTTTGTAAAAATCTTGATTTTGTACCACTTTTAGTTTTTAAGATATCAGTAAAAAACTGCCGTATTCGCTCGGGACAAAAATAGAAGTGGATTTCGGGGAAGTTCATACAACACCAGAAATTAGCGAATTCTGATGGAATATTTGAATGCGATTTTTTTAGAATATTGTTCAAACATGTCGCTGTGAAATGCTTTTGGTTTTACTCAAAAATTCTTTGCCGTTTTTTTTTATGCAGTTTCAACCACATTCGCTCGGGACATGTCGCTCGGGACATTTTTTCCGACTGTTTTGTAAAGCGGATTTCTTTACCTCTATCTCTCAATTGCTGGATGTTTTGCTTTTAACTTAATAGTTTAGCATGTGAATGAAGCATTCAGTACAGAAAAATGCCAGATATTAGCAATCCTATAGGATAAATTAACAACAGAAGACAGGTCCAAAAAATAACAACAAAATAGCCAAAAACTGATTTTTGCGTATATTGGTGGGGTTTGTCATAAAAATAATCAAACTATACTCCAAATTTGTAGTTAAGCTCAGTATCCAACTAATTAGAAACTAATATCGGGGCAAAATCATGTGGAAATATGTTTTATTCAAGGTTCAAGGTTTTTGGCTTGGTGGACTTTTTTTTGGAAGTGCCCATATGATCTTTTTGTAATTTTTCAAGAAAAACAAAAATTAAGTTTAAAACTTATTGGGAAATAGTCAAAATAAGTCAAATAAAATTCGATAATTATTGAATATTCGATATTTAGTGTATGCGTCCAGCCCTGGTCGTTTTTCGGTAAATTTTCCGAAAAAAAGGAAACCAACGGTTTTGGTCGGTTGGTTTCTAAACCAACCGTCCCCAAAACCGTCGACGGTTTCTGTGACACCCCTGATTGTGACCAAATTGAATTTTAACCATGCGCGCAAAATTTCTTCATTTAAAATACTTCTTCCACCGTCTCTGTTATCCCGAGCTCTTGAACCTTCATTATGGCCTGAACACACTATAGTATATGAATTTTAGCAAATAGATTCTAGCCCAAGTTCCAAAATTACCGTACAAAAATCTAAATAACATATTCGCCATCCACTACCAAAACGAACGCAGTCTTTTGGGTAAACTTAGTTAAATTCATACTAACAGTGCTGCCTCTGACTTTGATGCAATCGCTTTAACCGAAACCTGGCTTAATTCTTGCGTCTGCGATCATGAAATTGTTCTTCATTAGATCACCACCTATAGATGGAATCTTCCATCTTTTGTGGGTGGGGTCTTTATTGCAGTTAAGAACGATATTTCCTCTGAGTTGATTCTTTACTAACAATGATGGAACTGAATTTATTGCAGTGAAAGTCCGCATCGGTGCTGCTTTTATTATCAGCTGTAGGCTGCGCTGACAGCTTCATTGTGATGGGTGTTTTTAAACTTCCACTCGTTTCATAGACTCCTTGCGATGATTCAAACTTTTTGTTAGCAAACTCTACTCATGATTTTATTGAAGAGATAACCGATCGTTCGCTTGTTAAAATCAACTCCGTAAACACAGCTGATTCTCTCTCTGTTGTATACGGACGTGTTTTACATTCGCTCCCACATTTATTCGCTTAGTGTCGAAATTTTTGATTTTTTATATTCCCTAACGACGCAAGTGCATTGTGCATTGTTGTTGTTTTTTATTTACATTGTCGTTTTGGCCCTCTCTCGCACCGTTTGTTCTGCTCATCTCCCAACTTCAGTCACCGGCTCTCATTTTCGACTTAACGGTTCTATGCTGATTTAGTCTTATCGCGCTCTTTCTTTCCTCTTATCGCGCTCTTTCTTTCCTCGACGCCCTCATAGCCACACAGCTGTTTGTTGGCACTCATCTAAAGCTTTCTGTTTACATTTCTCTACATTCTACATTCTAGATTTTATATCTTACTTTAACTTGTAACAATGTCTGCTTGCTGTGTTGTTGGTTGCCAATTTACTGGCAAAATCACTTCTCGTCAGCCGATTGTTAATTGCTGGTTATGTGAGAACATTGCGCACGCTAAGTGTGTTGACTTTGGGCATAGTGCGGCCCAAATTGCGGATCGTACTAGGTCTAATGCCAACCTGGACTGGACGTGCCCTACATGCCTACATATCAAAATTGATATTAGATCATTTATGAGGCAAATGGAGCTTGAGTTCCAGGCCTTACGTGTTGGATTTACGGACTTATTCAGGGGTGTCACAGAAACCGTCGACGGTTTTGGGGACGGTTGGTTTATAAACCAACCGACCAAAACCGTTGGTGTCACAGGAATTCGAGAGATTTCCTTTTTTCGGAAAATTTACCGAAAAACGACCAGGGCTGGACGCATACACTAAATATCGAATATTCAATAATTATCGATTGTTACTTGACTTATTTGGACTATTTTCCAATAAGTTTTAAACTTAATTTATGTTTTTCTTGCAAAATTACAAAAAGAATATGTTTAAAGCGCATATTGTTCATAATAAAAGAAAAAAATTAAAAATTTGAATTACCCGCCAGACTACATATTGCAGCCCTGAACAACGGTTTGCCGCGGCTGCGTTGGTTTATTTTCATTTCTAAGTTGGCAAGATTTTTAAAAGCGAACTAAAATGCCGTCTGCTCTAGAGTACTTGCGAAGGCATAAACTGCGAGAGCCTAGGACGCAGAGGAGATCCTTACAAACGGTTTTACATGGACTACCATGGAGATTTAACTCATTGGCCAGGTCCCTTCACAAGAATGCGGCCGCCCTGAGTAAATTCTTTGGCAATGTCGATATTATCGCGAATGAATCGGAATAATATGGTGTCTTGCGCTGGTAACCAATGTTTACCCCTGAAAATTAGCAAAGCTTATTAGTTTAAATTAATAATAAACAAAAATTTTGTACTTTTTTACATGTATGTCTTCTTCTTCTTCACAGCCACCGTTTTACCTGGCAAAAATAGGACATTTTTTCACGACAGAGATGCCAACTTTTTGCAAAGGCGGCCTGTTTTTATTAATTTCTGAATTCTTTTACCATACAATTTTTACCAGAAATAAGTTTCACTTTTAACTACAATACTAAGTACCTTTGAATAAATAATTCTTTAACAAAACATTTCGAAAACTAACTCCGAAATTTGGACAAATTTGGTATTTTAAAGTGCTAGCTAATTGGTAACACTGCCAGGTAGACGGTTTGCCGACGGATTTTTTTTAGCTAATTTTTTCGAGAGGTTTTATAAAAAGCATATTTTTAAATATAAACCGAAGTAGGTATAAAAATTCATTAGAGTTGTCTTAAATAAAGTTATATTTTTGGGAAACATTTGTAAGCTGGGTAATTTTATCAAAACGTCCGGCAAAATACTGGGGATTTAGAAATTGTCAAAAATGACGTCTGTGACACCGAGATTTGCTATTCGGGAGAAATTCGGTTGGAATGGTTTTCTGTGACACCCCCGATTAAGTCGGTTTAATGTTCTCGACTCAAACTTCAAAGGTCGTATCCTTCTTAATCAATTATCTTTAAATATAAATCGTAATCCTACACTGCCTAATATTTCTCTACATGTGCGATGAGGACGATCCCAATGGGAGCGAATCATCAACGACCGATGTCAGGATGCAATCTCGGCCAGATTCGCTATACGTAGTTTCGCCTGAGTCTTCAGAGCCTACTAACCGGTCGCCGGCTGTTGCCACTTCGGGGGCTCTGCCGCACCTAGTACTGCCCTTAGATAATACCCTTGTACCTCCTCCTGTTCCACTTTCTAGCATGATCCCTAGGAAGAACAGTAATAGCCCAGCTCCCTCTCCTCCAGTACCACTCACTCTCATGGTACCTAGGAAGTCTATTTTTGTGTCAAGATTAAATGCAGCACTCACAGTCAACGACGATGCATCATATTGTCTCGAAACTCTCCCTTCCCAATCAAAAAGGTATTGACATCACTAAATTTAATTTTAAACAAATAAGAGATTATTCTTCATTTAAAATACTTGTTCCGGATGAACTCTTCTCCAAACATCTTGACCCTAATTTTTGGCCTGCTAATATAATTGTTCACGAATATATTAAAAACAAGAGAGAACGTTATAGTCGGGTGCCCCGACTATCAGTAACTACCCGTTACTCAGGTAAAGGGAGTGCGAGGGAGATGGAGATAGAGATAGAAAACGTTGATCACGCATAACTTTTTAACGAATGGTCCGATTTGAAAAATTTCTTCTACATTTCGATAGGTATTGATAAACACAATAAAACTGCATTTTTACTTTTCCAAAATATTAAAATTTTTAAAATCGTATATAAGCGATTGTGGGCGTTAGAGGGGGCGTGGCACCATTTTGAAACAAACTTGCGCTGCGTAGGAACTCCTAAAATCTGCATGCAAAATGCCAATCTTCTAGCTTTTATAGTTTCTGAGATCTCAGCGTTCATACAGACAGACAGACGGACAGACGGACAGACAGACGGACAGACGGACAGACGGACATGGCTAGATCGACTCGGCTAGTGATCCTGATCAACAATATATATACTTTATGGGGTCGGAAACGCTTCCTTCTCCCTGTTACATACTTTTGCACGAATACAATATACCCTTTTACTCTACGAGTAACGGGTATAAAAATAGTTCGCTTCCCATCACTTCCTTGTCGGCGCCCAGCTATGCTTCAAATTCAAAAAACTAAATTTCATAATCCACTATCAAAATGTACGGGGGCTTCTTAGTAAACTCTCAACGCTTTATAAAAAGATCTCAATTTTTGAAGCCAATGTTATTGTATTCACTGAGACCTGGCTTAACCCATCTGTACACGATAGTGAGATTTTGTCAAATAACTTTTTTGTTTATCGGAATGATCGTCATACCCGTCGAGGTGGAGGCGTTCTTATTGGAGTCAAATCCGATTTAACTTCCGAGCTTGTTGATATTTCTGGTTCATCAGGTATTGAATTTATTTCTGTAAAATTATCTTTCCCAAAAAATAACATTTTTTTAACTTGCTCCTTTATACCCCATAACTCCGAATTTAACGTTTATATATTGCACCTGTCCGCCATACAGTCTATCTCCTTGTTGCTTGCTGAAACTGACCAACTCATTGTGCTCGGTGACTTTAATCTTCCCAATATTTCTTGGTTGGAGAGTAATGATTCATTGGCAATGATTACTAGGATGCAATATGACTTTGTTGATGGTCTTGTTGAACTATCCTTGCAGCAAGTTAACTGGATTCCCAATCATATTGGTCGTCTCCTTGACTTAATCTTCGTCTTTGATTGTATCGATGTTGAAGTTAGTCGAATTCCGCCACTATCTCTACCTGAAGATTGTCATCATACTACCCTTCAGCTCTGTATAAATGGATTTTTTAATGCTCCCAGGACTGCAATAAATGTACATAAATGTACACAAATGTACAATAAATGTACTAGTTTGTGTTTTAAAAAGGCTGACTATGCCAAACTAGTTGAATCTTTATCGACAATTAATTGGTCCTATCTTGTAGACCTTCCTGTTGATGATGCAGTTGGGTATTTTTATAAAGTCCTTTGTCGTCTATTTGATTTACATATCCCTCTTTCCTTCTTGAAGAATTCGTATAGCTCTCCATGGTTTACTCGTCAACTATCCTATCTAAAAAATAAAAAAAACAGACTTTTTAAACGGTTCAAAATTTCTGTCTTGCTGACGGACTGGGCCAAATATAGTTCTGCTAAGGCGGAATTTGTCCAGCACAATTCTGACTGTTATCAAAATTACCTGTCTCGTTGTAAGCGTGATTTCAAAAATAATCCTAAACTTTTTTATTCTTTCGTCAATTCTAAGCGGAAATCTTATTGCTTCCCTCATTCTCTTTTTCATAATAATAATATAGCATCTGATGACTATGAGATTTCCAACCTATTTGCTGATTTTTTTCAATCGACTTATACGGAATGCAATGGTGTTATTGATAATGATTATCAATTCCCACTACCTCATCTGAACTCTATCTTCAAGCCAGTGATTAATATATTTTATGTTCCTGGTCCGGGTCCTGACAAAATACCAAGTTGTATACTGAGGAATTGTTCGTCTTATCTAGCTTTTCGCTTAACATTAATATTTAATTTGTCGCTAAGTCAAGGAAGATTTCCATCCATATGGAAGGAATCGTTTATTGTTCCATTGTTTAAAAAAGGGAACAAGTCCGATATCTCAAATTATCGTGGTATTGCAAAACTCAGTGCAATTCCTAAACTTTTCGAAAAAATTATTACCTGTCAGTTGCAGCATCATTGCCGGTCTATTATTTCTCCGTGTCAACATGGCTTTACTAGACGTCGCTCTACTTCTACAAACCTTTTAGAATTTACATCTTTAATTACTAAAGGCTTCCTGACACATCATCAAACTGATGTGATTTATACTGATTTTTCTAAAGCTTTTGATTCTGTGAACCATAAACTTATTATTTTTAAATTGTCCCGTTTAGGGTTTCCTCCAAACCTACTTGACTGGATACTTTCCTACCTTTCCAATAGAACTCAAATGGTCTGTTGTAACAATAGAATTTCCAAAATAATTAATGTTACTTCTGGAGTGCCACAGGGTAGCCACCTGGGTCCTTTACTCTTTTGCTTAATGATTAATTAATCATTAATGAATGATTAATGAAACATTAGGTATGTTATAAAATCGTCTACCGTATTAATGTATGCAGATGATGTCAAGCTATGTTTTTCCATGTGTTTACCTAGCTCATTTAATGACCTTCAATTAGATCTTGACTGTTTGTATACGTGGTGCATGATTAACATGTTGAATTTAAACTATTCTAAATGTAACTTTATGACCTTTTATCGTTGTAATCCATCTCTGTTTTCTTATTCTATTGGAAATAACGCCCTTGAACGATTTTTATCAGTTCAGGATCTTGGCGTTTTATTTGATCATAAACTTAGTTTTAAAGACCATATATCTACTATATCTAATAAAGCCAGAAGTCTTCTTGCATTTATGAAACGTTGGTCAAGGGAGTTCGATGATCCTTACACAACAAAGCTTTTGTATGTTTCTCTTGTTCGTCCGTCTATGGAATATTGCTCTTGTATATGGTCTCCTCAAATTAGCTGTTACCAAAATATGTTAGAGTCTGTCCAAAAACAATTCCTTTTATTTGCTCTGAGGGGATTACACTGGGACACAGGTAGTCGATTGCTCTCTTATCTTGCGAGGTTGCGCCTGCTCGACTTACCAACCCTCTACCATCGTAGGAAGTGTCATGGAGTTATGTTCTTACATAAACTTATTAATGGTGATGTCGACTCCCCTTTCCTTCTTAGTTCACTTAACTGGAATGTACCCTGTAGAACAGTTCGCCGTTTTCGTCCGTTGTCCCTGCCAATATGTAGATCTAATTATGCCCTGCATGATCCTTTTCGTGTTCTGTGTGACGACTATAATTCACTGTGCCACGTCTTACTGTTTGATACCCCCAATGCTACTAATTATAATAAACTTATGTATTTTCTGTCTTCAAATAATTTATAAATTCTTTGTGAGCATTAATTTTAAACTGTCTATTGTTAGATCGTGTTTTTTCCATGTACGCGATTCCGCTTACTTGCCCAAAACGGTTTAGGGCTCCGCGCGTTTGCTTGGTGTCGTAAGGGCCACTTGTTTGTACTGACCATAGTCCATCAACGTCCAAGAATAGAAAAAAAAACAGCCGTCACAGACTTCTTGACCTGATGTTTGTAAGCGATTTTTCGCTTCTATTCTTCTATTTCTGTTGAGTTTACTAGCCCAAGTTCGAATGCGTGCCCTGGAAAATATTTCAGAAAATAAACTAGCTAGGATACACTACCCCTTGAAGTTACTATTTCTCCAACTTCCAAGCCTCAGTGGTTTACAAGAAAGCTTTCTTTTTCAAAAAATAAGAAATCCAGACTATTTAAAAAATATTACAAATCTGGATCTTTGTTTGACTTTGCTCAATATCCTCCACCTGATCCCAATTCTTTGCCACGAATAGTCAATGTTACATGAATTATCTCTCCCAGTGCAAGGAAAACTTCCGCACTGATCCTAAGCAATTTTACTCAATTGTTAACTCCAAACGTAAATCTAATGCATTTCCTTCGTCCCTACGATAACGTAATGGTGCTGAATCTTCCAGTTTTGGTATATTCAACTTATTTGCTTCTTTCTTTGAGTCAACTTACTGTACACAACACTATGTTCTCCGTTGTCCGTATCCCTATAATCTACCTCATGCGATCAATATTTTTCTGGCATGTGGTGCTATTTATGGGTTGTCTTCAATTGACAATTCATTTGACGCAGGTACCGATTAGGTTCCAAGCTGCATCTTAAAAAAATGTGTTCAAAATCTTGCACGTCCTATCACTCATTTATTTAACCTAATTGTGAACCAACCCTGATTCCGAGATTTTAGCCAAATCTTTTTAATTGGATTGTGTCTTATTTGTCAAACCGTACAAATGACCTTCCTTAAGGAATTTTAAACTGTTCAATCCTCATCTATGCTGACGATGTTAAAATGTCCTATTGTTGTTTGCCCTTTTTTGATTGGTACCTGCACACGCGCCTTCAACTTAGAATTGATGAATTCCAGAATTGGTGCCAAAATAATCTTTTTTTTTGAACCATAAAAAATGTAAAGTTATGACTTTTCAACGTTACTCTCCGCATCTTTTTTCATTATTCCTTGAAACTCATACCCTTAATTGAATATCTGTATCAAACGACCTTGGTGTTCCTTATGATCACAAACTGTGTTTCACTTTCCTCCCTCCTTGTTATACCCTTGCAGAGGGTATT